CCCCTCTGAGCCGGTGCCAGGGGCCAGCAGGCGCCCCAGAAGGGCAACTGAGGCAGGAGCCGGGGTCACACGCCCGTCCTCTTAGCCAGGGCTCACAGGCCCTGAGACCTGTCCAGAGGTCCTTGCAGGGCCAGGGCCACAGCCACAACACTTGCCTGCTCCTGCCTCCTTCTCTCTTCCCCAGCAGGGCACGTGCACAGGCAGACTCACACGTACACACGTGCACATAACACACACGTACACAGTACACACATGTAAACACATGCCCACACAACACACCCCAGCCCTACACATGTCACACATGTGCACATGAGTTCACACACAGCACACATGTGCAGAAACACCACAATGCACACCACATACAAAATGCAACACTCTGCACACATGCACAAATGAATGCGCCCACGTGTGTAATACACATGTGTGCACACACCACATGCAAAACCCACCCAACATCCATGCACAGGTAGTACCCCATGCCCCAGCACCCATGCACAATACATACACACCACTCGCCTCAGCATCAGACACACACTACCCACAGTACATACGACACACACATACACACTGCACACACATGCACACGCCCAGGCAAAGACAGCAGTGGTTGAGTCTTGCAGTGTCCGGGCAAGGAGCTCTGGAAACCCTGGAGAGGATGGTGGACGGGGGCCCCACAGTCCGTGCCTCCTGCTGCTGCACTGGGGGACCGGGGTCTCTCCCGGCCCAGGTCCCCTTCCTCCCCTTCAGGCCACACCTGGGACCTGCATCACCAAGGTGCTGAGGTGCCAGGCAGGTGCCCCACAGCTGGGGCCAGGCTGGTGGCCGGTGCTTGAAGCCAGACCTGGGCGTGGAGCCCCCGACCAGGCAGGGCTGTGTGTCCTGGGTGGGGGGTTGCCGAGTCTGTTGTTAAAGCCACGGGTGAATGGGGGTGCAGTTAGTCTCTGGCAGCATCTGGGACACACGAATTGGAGACCCAGGTCTGGTGGGCACCAGCAGAAGGTCCTGGGGTCTCCTCCACCTGCGGCCAGGTTCCCGTCTCAGGAGAAGCCCCTCCCGGAGCGAACTGGGTTCTTGTCAGTGAAGCCGCCCCCCGAAACGCCTGCACCCATGTGGGCGCCTGTTCCAGTCCTGGCTGCTCCACTTCTGAGCCAGCTCCCTGCTAACATGCCTGGGAAAGCAGTGGAAGATGCCCAAGTGCCCGGGCCCCTGCACCCCCATAGGAGACCCGGAAGAAGCTCCTGGCTCCTGGCCCAGCCGCTGGCCGTGGCAGCCATGGGGGGACTCAGCTTGCACCAGGAGCTTCTTTTCCCCTTCCTGTGACATTGAAGACCCCTTTGGGGGGGGGTCCCACAGTCCCCAGAGTCCAGGGAGCCTGGCGCCCCCTGGAGCCGGCTCGCGGTAACGCGTGACCCAGTTCCCAGGCAGGCTCCTCAGGAGGGAGCCAGCGCCTGAGGCCGGGGCAGCAGGAGGCCGCCAGGCCTGCACTGCGGCCCTCAGGCCCCTGAGCCAGAACCAGCCCTCGGCCCAGGCAGCCGGCCCTGGGGCTCCTGGCCTGCTGGCAAACAGCTCTCACCAGCGTTTCTTCCAGGTGCTGCGGCTTTCATGATACTCAGTTACGTTCTTTTACTACAGCAGTGAACCTGGGGGTGTGAGCAAAGGTGGTGACACCGAATGCAGCCCCGCCCCTGTGGGGTCAGGGGCAGGTGGCCCCTTCTGCGGCGGGGGGCAGGGCCACTGAGCAGATCAGAGTGAAGGGGGATGGGTTTGCGTGACCTGGGGTTCGGCCAGGACGGCAGGATGTTTCCACACACAAACCCGGCCATGCACCAGCCCCTCGCCAAGCCCTGCCCACCCACGCCTGGACGGGCCAGGCCCCGGGACCCCCAGGCGCTCACAGGGAGCTGCAGGAACAGGGCCAGGTGGGATCTAGTTGAGACCAAGGAGCCAGGGCAGAGTGACAGGGCTGGGTGCTGGCAGGGAGGCCTCGGCCGCAGGGGGAGGGCGGGCGCTGGGCAGAGACTCGGAGGCCCCACTGAAGGAGCTGGGCCCATCCTAGGGGCCATGGTGGACCCTGAGGAGGGGTCAGCAGCCAGAGCCCGGGGCTGGGGGGTGGAGGCCAGACCATAAGCCGCGTGGACTTGTCCAGAACCCACACCATGGTGGGCAGCTGGGCTGATGGCGGCTGCAGGAAGAGGGGACGTGGAGCCCAAGTCCCCGGGGACCTGTGGATTTAGGATTTTAAATCAGGAGTGGACATCTGTGCTTGTTTTGGGACAGCTCAGAGGACAATGACCAGGTGGGCCTACCCTGGATGGAGAGAGAGCAGAGGTGGTGGCTCCCAGGGGCTCAGAACAGGCCACACCTAGTTCTACCACCAGGGGGTGCCAGAGACCGCCTTATCTTTTCTAACACGGTGCTCCGCAGCCCCTTGGTCCAGCAAGACCGACCTTGGGCAGCCCAAGCAGGAGCGCTGTGCAGGGCAGGGGCCAGCCCAGCTTCAGTGCAGTCACCTGCGAGATTGCCCGGACCCCTGGACCTGCTGCCTGGGCCTGCACCTTAGCGGGCTGGGCACGCCCCACCTTTGCGTGAGGCCCCACTGCAGCCACCCCTGAGCTGTGCCTTCACACCCTGGCTCTCAACTCCGGCCCGGCCCACTCAGCCACCCTGCAAATGCGTTAGAAATGCAGATTCCAGGGCTGGCCCTCGAGCTCCTGAATGAGACCCTGGGTGAGGGGCCAGACAGAGCCCTGTGTTTTCAGCGTCATCGGGGGGCCTCCGCGCCAGCCCAGGGTGAGGCCTTTGCTCCTGCTTGTGGCTGGGCCCGGGCCAGACAGGCCGAGTGGCCAGGGCACCGGGACGGCAGTGGGGGCGGCCGGGGGCTGCCGCGGAGCCGGGCAGTCGGCCCAGCATGGCAGCTGGGGTGAGGAGTAATGGAGCCATTGCTGGCGTTGCCCTCAACGGACCAACACAGTAAGTCAAACCCTGGGGCCCGTCACACAGTTGGTGGAAAAACCATGAGAAGTTAGGCTGTGGCGTAGCGGTTAAAGCCCCGCCTGCAGGGCCAGCATCCCATACGACACTTGGCTGGAGTCCCGGCTGCTCCACTTCCCACCCAGCTCTCTGCTGGGGCCTGGGAGAGCAGTGGAGGATGCCAGAGTCCTGGGCCCCGCACCCGCGTGGGAGACCTGGAGGAAGCGCCTGGCCCCTGGCTCCGGCCTGGACAAACCCAGGCCATTGCAGCCATTTGGGGGGTGAACCAGTGGATGGAAGTTCCCTCCCCCTCTCTTCCTCTCTTTGTGTAACTCTAACTTTCAAGTGGATACATAAATAAACCTTAAAAATCCATTAAGTTTACTTTGGTGTAGAATATTTAATCTATGCATAGATTTTTTTCTTGGCATCCATTTTCCATGAACTTCAAAAACTTCTACCTGGTTATCTGAGAGGGAGAGAGGCAGACAGAACCGCCATCCACTGGTTTGGTTCACTCCCCAAATTCCTGCAACGCCCGGGGCTGGGGCCCGGAGCCAGAGCTCAGTCCAAGCCCCCTCCCCCACCGGCCACCTGGGCATCACTGTGCCTCCCAGCTCTGCGTCAGGAAGCTGCATCAGACTCAAAGCCGGCTCTGTGGTGCGGCAGGTGGGTGCCTCGGCCGCTAGGCCCAATGGCTGACCCCCGGGACCTGTCTGAAGCCCCCTCACACAGGCATCTAACGGGAAGGAAACACATACACATAGACACATCACACACACACACGTATACATACACACATACATCACACATATACATATCACACGCACACACATACACACATCACACATACACACATGCACACACATATACATACACATATATACACACATACATCACACATATACACATCACACGTACACACGTACACACATCACACATACACATATACACATCACACACATGCACACATACATGCGCACATACATCACACACATACACATCACACGTACACACATCACACACATACACACATGTGCACACATACATACACACATATACACACATACATCACACACATACACGTCACATGTACACACATCACACATACACATATACACATCACACACATACACACATACATATATACATACACATATATACACACATACATCACACATATACACATCACACGTACACACATACACACATCACACATACACATATACACATCACGCACATACACACATGCACACATACATACACACATACATCACACACATACACATCACACATACACATATACACATCACACACATACACACACGTGCACACATACATACACATATATACACACATCACACACATACACATCACACGTACACACATACACACATCACACATACACATATACACATCACACATGCACATACGTGCACACACATACACATACATCACACACATATACATCACATGTACACACATCACACATACACATATACACATCACACACACATACATATACACAGACACACAAACATCACATACACACAAAGATACACATATATACACATCACATACACATATGTACATACACACATCGAATACACACATACACACAAACAAAAACACACATCACATGCACACATACACAAATACACCCACATCACATATACACATGTGCACATACGCACAAAAACACAATCACATACACACATCGACACAAACATATACAAATACACTCACACACACACACACACACGTCCACCTCACACCATCACTACCTACTACTTCCAGGATCCTGCGGAAAGCCGCGTGGATGAGACATTTTGGTTCACTTGTCTAACACCGCAGCTGTGTTTTCAAACCACCCTCGGAGGCCTGGCTGCTAAGGGACGGACGCAGAGCGCTGGGAAGGGACTGTCCCTGGCTCTCCCCAGGCTCTGAGCGCTGGGGCTCCTCCCACCGAGCCCTGGCGGGGTGGGGGCAGGGGAGGGTGGAGGTGGGAGGGTACGGGTGGGGGTTGGGGGGGGTCTCGGTCCCCCTCCGAATGCAACACCGCCCCCTGGCGGGCGGCCGCGTGCTCGCACAGGTGGCGGCTCCCGGGCATGGGCAACAGCGAGTCCCCATCACCACGCTGGGCACGTGTGGGGACGCGAGATGAGGCCGGGGACTTTGGGCCCCGATTCAGAGAACGCGGGGGTGAGGAAGCCCCCTGCGCCCTTGGAGACCCTGGGGCTCCCTCTCTGGACACGGGGTGCCCGGACGGCCATGGGGGAGGGGATCTGGGGCGGGACCACGAGGCTGCACCTACTGGGAGAGCCCCTGGGCCCCGCACAGCCCCGCTGCTGGCTGCGGTGTCCCGAGACAGAGCCCAGCTGGGCCCCACCGCGCCTGCTCGGCGGCCCGGCCCGAGCCTGGGTGCAGGTGTTTCCCGGGGTGGGGGCGTCCTGCTCCACGCAGCTCCGGGGAGGGGGCAGCAGCCAGCCCGGCCTCCGGCTCCGACCGCGTCCGTGGGGAGTGGAAGTCGGCCGCGTTCCAAGCGCCGACACTGAACTCAGTCCAGCAGTTTCAGGAGCGGCCGTGAGAAGATGTTTTTCTCTGCTCGGGTCCTGGCTCAGCTTCCCAAAGGGCACGGAGGCCGCCCCCGCCCCCGGTGGGCACGAAGCGAGCGGCCCGGGCTCCAGCCACGCGCTTCCGTCCTGGTCCCCAGCCCTGTATAAAGAGCAGCCTGCGCGCGGGCGGCCACCCCATCCGGGCCGCGGACGGGCAGGCGGGCAGCAGGGCGGCCCCTGAGAGGTGAGCCGTGGCCTGGGGCGGGCGGGCGGCCCCGGCTCGGGCTCTCAGCCCTACGTGGGGGTCAGGACGCACCACGCCGTGTCCCCGAGTGCCCCCACGTCGGGGCAGGGGAAGGTGCTGCTCTGGTGGGGGGTGCGCTCCCAGCCCTCGCCCTGGGTCGCCCCCTCTGCTGCAGGTGCACCGGATCACCACCTGGGAAGATGTGGTCCTGCCTGGTGCCTGGGCTGGCCCTCTGCCTCCTGCTGGGACCCCTGGCAGGTGAGGGGCTGGGCGGGGCTGATGGGACCTGGTCCTGTGCCCAGGGCAGGGTGGTGTGGGGGCGGGCGGCTGACGGCCCTCCCTCTCCCCACAGGGGCCAGGCCGCTGCAGGAGCAGGAAGGTAGGGTCTTTCTGTGCAGCAGGGCTCTGCCCAGGCGGGGCGGGAGGATGGGGGTAGGGCGCCGGCGGCCTCCTACCCGGAGCACAGCAGGCCCAGGGGGAGATCCTGGACGGTGGCCCCGGCTCGGCTGCAGCCTTTCCTACACAGGTCCCCCAGCAGCGCCCCTAACTCCACCCTCCTCCCTGCAGTCCAGCCCAGTGTGGACAATGCCCCCCACCCCGCCCTGGACAGGCCTCCTCTCTCCCCAAGGGCCAGAGCCGCTGCCCCCGCTGCCCCTGGCTGGCCCAGGAGGGCCCAGGCCCTGCGCCCTGTCTTTCAGACCCCTACGCAGAGCCGCCGGCCATGCCCTACTGGCCGTTCTCCACGTCGGACTTCTGGAACTACGTGCAGCAGCTGCAGGCCCTGGGCGCCTACCCCCAGCTCGAGGACCTGGCGCGCACCTTCTTCGCACACTTCCCCCTGGGCACCACCCTGGGCTTCCACGTCCCCTACCAGGAGGACTGAGCCCTGGCCGGCACTGTCCACCTCCCGGGGCGCGGGATCCCTCCACGGGGCTGGGCCCAGCCTCGCACCCAATAAAGTCCTACCGGGAGAACGTGAGCGCGCCAGGGCTTGCTTTCCAGATGCAGCTGCGCTCCGGTGCCACGCACGAAGCCCTTGACCAGGGCGCCCGGCTGGCGGTGTGGCCCAGAGGCAGGGGGCGGCAGCCTCCCCAGGGTTGAGGCAAGGACACCTGGCAGCAGACGCCTGGAACCGCCAGCCTCAAGGCCGCTGTCCCCATGCTGGGGCGGCCTCGCTGGCACAGAGCCCACTGCAGGGAGCAGCAGGGAGGGCACTCAGGGCAGCAGGGGGAGCGGCTGTCGCCCCGGGCAGCCCTGGGGGAGTGGAGGGGTGGGGGTGGGGACATGGCCGGACCCCAGGGGTGGGCTAGAAGGGCGGAAGCCCCCTGCACGCAAGGTGTGCAAGCCTAGTGGACCCTGGGAGCCTGCAACTCACACCCTGTCACATCCATCACACACCCCTGCCACTCAGACCCCTGTCACTCACACCCCTGTCACTCACACCCCTGTCACTCACCCCTGTCACTCACACCCCTGTCACTCACCCCTGTCACTCACACCCTGTCACTCACACCCCATCACTCACACCCTGTCACACCCATCACACACCCCGTCACTCACACCCCTGTCACTCACACCCTGTCACATCCATCACACACCCCTGCCACTCAGACTCTGTCACTCACACCCGTGTCACTCACACCCCATCACTCACCTGTCGCTCACACCCCATCACTCACACCCCTGTCACTCACACCCCTGTCACTCACCCGTCACTCACCCCTGTCACTCACACCCTGTCACTCACACCCCTGTCACGCACACCCTGTCACTCAGACCCCTGTCATGCACACTCTGTCACTCACACCCCTGCCACTCACACCCTGTCACTCACACACCCCTGTCACTCACACCCCTGTCACTCACACCCCTATCACTCACACCCTGTCACCCAGACCCCTGTCACTCACCCCTGTCACTCACACCCTGTCACTCACACACCCCTGTCACTCACACCCTGTCACTCACACCCTGTCACTCACCCCGTCACTCACACCCTGTCACCCCTGTCACCCACACCCTGTCACCCCTGTCACCCACTCCTGTCACTCACACCCCGTCACTCACACCCCGCCACTCACAGCCCTGTCACTCACAGCCCTGTCACTCACACACCCCTGTCACTCACACACCCCGTCACTCACACCCTGTCACTCACCCCTGTCACTCACACCCCTTCACTCACACCCCGTCACTCACCCCTGTCACTCACATCCTGTCACCCCTGTCACTCACACCCTGTCACTCACACCCTGTCACCCCGTCACTCACACCCTGTCACTCACACCCTGTCACCCCGTCACTCACACCCTGTCACTCACACCCTGTCACTCACCCCTGTCACTCACACCCCCATCACTCACACCCCTGTCACTCACACCCTGTCATTCACCCCTGTCACTCACACCCTGTCACTCACCCCTGTCACTCACACCCCCGTCACTCACACCCCTGTCACTCACCCCTGTCACTCACACCCTGTCACTCACCCCTGTCACTCACAGCCCTGCCAGCTGGGGAGAAACTGACGCATTGGGTGGCTTCTCTTGGCCACCAGCAAGTGACAGTTCATTGACCGGCTCGGACACGGCTATGGAGCCACGTGGGTCACCAGGTGGCCGAGGCTCCCGCAGCCAGGGGCGTGCACTTCTCCTCGCCCGGCTCTGTCCCCCTGGCCACGTTCCCTGTCCCCTGGAGCCACCCTGGCTCTCACCCCACCCGACCCCAAGCTTACCTATGGCTCAGAGCTGTGCCTACAGCCCTGGCTGCCTCCGCGCTGACCACTTCCCTGGCCCAGTCTGTGGGCGACCCCCGCCCACCAGGAGGCCCCAGTAAACCAAGCAGGCGCCCGCCCTCCCGGAACAAACCGCGGCCGCGCGCCAGCACGGCGGCCGCTGCACGCGCAGCCCACCCTGATTGACAGGCGGGGCTGGAGGCGGGGCCGGCCGGCACGACCATAGAGTCGCGATCCTCCGGCGCCTAGAGCTGCCGGGCAGGCGCGCACCGGATGTGGCCTGCGGGCCGGAAGTGGGCCGAGAGCGCTGCAGAGCCGAGATGAAGCCGGCGGTGGACGAGATGTTTCCTGAGGGCGCCGGGCCCTACGTGGACCTGGACGAGGTGGGCGGAGGCCGTGCTGGCTTGTCGGCGGCGCCGCCCGAGCCCCCGGGACGCCGCGGGCCCGCAGGGTCCCTGCTCCGGGCAGAGACGCCGCCGGGCGTCCGGGGGCGGCGAGCGCTCTGCCGGGACGCGGGGCGGGGGACTCCCGTGGGTGCTGAGGAGGCCGCCGGGGGCGTCGCCCCGCTGGAGGTCCCGCGCCTCGCCCCCTGCCCGGGTCCCCTGTGCAGCCGTCCGGCCCCGCGGGGCCCCGCGCTCAGCGGCCCGGAGGTGCTGGGACGCGGGGCCCGCCAAGCACAGCAGAGGCACGGGCGCCCCGCAGAAGGGCACCCCCGCGGCTTGCGGGCCGGTCGTGCCGCCCGGTGCTGGAGGCCCGAGGGAGGCCGCCTGGCGGGAGCCCGCGCCGCTGGTCACTCAGGGAGGGGGAGCGGGAGGCGGTGGGCAGGGAACCGACGGAGGAGGGGCCCCTCGCACCCCGCTCGGGACGAGAGCGCACGGACCCGGCTTCTCCCCCAGGGAGCGCGCAGCCACGGTCGGCGCTCCGCAGGGTCACTGAGCGCGGGTGCGGGGGTGAGGGTGGACGGCGGGCACCCACTCAACTCAGCGGTCAGCGGGGGAGGGGCTCGGAGGGATGGGGCGAGATGCCCAGGACCTGAGCACCAAGCGAGCAGCCCCGGGAACCGCAGAGCCGGGCCGAAGCAGCAGGCCCTGGGCTGGGGGTCCCGGGAGGCCGGGTTCCACCGTCACTGGGTGACTAACCCGGATCCAGGCGCCCCGGCTTGGGTGGCCGCCTGGCTCGCCAGCCCTGGAGTCGTGGCCGTGTTGGGTCTCGTGAGGGGAGCCCCTCCGGAACCTCAGGGCTGCTGCTCAGGAGGGTGGGGGTGGGGGCACCCAGAGCAGCCATCAGACTCAGCTGCTCCGCCCTTGACCTCTGGCGGCTGCACCCGAGCCTGGACGTCTGAGGTTTAGAGAAGAAGGGGCACCTAGGGCCACGCACGCCCTTGGTAGGAGCAGAGGAGGCTGCCGGAATGCGGGAAATCAGGAGACGCTGATGGCCTGTCCCGTCCCTCCCACACCCACCGCGTCCTCTGCGTGGAGCTAGCATTCACTCCAGCTCGAGCGTGCTCCGTGCCAGCCAGTGACTGCTCCCCGCAGGCGGTGTGGCGCTGGCACGCCTAGCGCCTGCCCTGGGATGCACCTGACAGCTTCCCACCTCCCCCGCAGGCCGGAGGCAGCACCGGGCTCCTCATGGACCTGGCCGCCAACGAGAAGGCTGTTCACGCAGACTTCTTCAACGGTAAGGGGCCCGGGCCCACGCGGGGTTTCTTCCGCGCAGCCGGAAGCTTTGTGACGGGAGTATTGGGTCACATGGCAGTGATGCCCGGGCCCTGGGCCGGTCTGGAATACAGCGCGGCGTGTGCAGTGACGATGCCGGCTTCCCTGGCAGGCGTGGCTCCCAGCCCCATCCGTGGTGAAGTTCAGCAGGGGTTGGCGTCGCCTGTGGACACCCGAGATCGCGGGTGGGGCCTGCGGAGCCCGGTCTGGCGCTCTGGCCCCTGCCGTCTCCTGAGGTCTCTTTCTTCCCTCCCTCTCCCCGGCCACACCTGTTTGCCCGCCTGGATTCTCGAACCCACAGCTGCCTCAGCTCGGCCGCAGCTGCCCTCCGGCTCTCGTCCTGCCCCAGCCTCTGGACGAGGCCGTGGACACACAGCCATCTGGGATTTGGAGCGTGGGTGAAGTCTCACCACTCAGGCAGTTAGAAAGTGGACCTGTGTACCCTTCAGACACTGGAGGAGCACCTCTCCTCTCCGCGGGGTGGCGGGGCCTTGTCCCCGTAGGCGCCTCCACTCTCTGCTGAGGGTTCCGTGTGAGCACACCGCAGGCCGGCTCCTCCGGACAGCAGCGGCATTGCTCCCCCTCCGTCATCCTTCAGCCACAAGTGCTCGCCCTACAAACACCTTTTGTCATTGGTTAGGCGCAGCTGGGACGTGGTCTGGCCTCCTTGGTTTCTAACTTAGCTAAGACTCTTTAAAGCCCCGAGGCCTCGCTGGTCTGTCTGGCTGATGTCAGGGTGTCCTTGCCCAAGGAGACAAGCCAGGCTGCTAAATTCGGGGCCGTCTTCTGAGGCAGCACCCTGATGGCCACACCTGGCGTCAGAGCTGGGGGAAGTGACCTTGAGCCGAGGGTGTGGAGAGAAGGGTGCTGCGCCCACGGGGAGAGCCTGGCACAGCGCACTGTGCTCCAGCGCTGCCTTTGGGAGCGCCCGGGCCGGGCAGGGCCACCCGAGCGGCTCCGAGGTGGGCAGAGTGGTGCGATTCCCACGCGGCACGAGCGACACCACGACTGATGGCCTTCAGCGGCCCTCTCCTCTCTGCCAGCCCCTCGGTTTGGAGGGAGCGGCCATTTCGAGGTTGGAGTGCTTGTGATTTGCAGACAGCCCGGGATCTCTGATGGGAAGTGTCTGAGAGGACCCGGCCTGACCTGCTGGGTGAGCGCTCTGCATGGGCAGCTGAGGGGCGTTCCCGTCGGAGCAGCGGCCAGGAAGGGAAGGGATGGAGACGACTGGGCAGCTGCTGCCTGCCTGCTGGCCAGGCTCCTGCAGTGTGCTGTCCCGGAGGCCATGCCAACCCCATGTAGAGGAAGCCGGCCACCCTGAGGGGTGGGGCTTCTGCCCAGGCCTCCGCTGGGCACCGAAGCTCTTACCACAGTAAGACGTACTTTTCTCTCATGTTTGAGCCAGTGGTGGCAGCTGGCAGTGTAGAACCACAAGGAGGGCCCGGTGGAGTGGTGGTGTTGGGCCTTGGAGCACAGCAGAGGTGTGCCAGCTCCCGGGGGCCTCATGGTGTGTGCAGTGCCCGAGGCGTGGGTGCTGGGCAGAGGTCAGGAGGCACGAGGGCGTGGAGCACGTCCCTGTGCAGTCCCTGTGCAGTGGCCAGAGACGGGTCAGGGGCACTGCCTTCCCCGGGAGGGCTGTGGTGCAGGGCTGGGTGCAGACCTGGCCCTGCTC